ACTAAACGATTACTTTTTCGACGATATAATTAATTTAATGTGGTAATGAATTGCAAGTTAACCATAAAAAATGTTAACAACCGCAACGCGAAACACCTGCTACACAAACATATGCAGTTATCAAAACGTATAAACTGTTGTGATAGGCAATGACACTGCTTAAATGATGAGAGCATGAGAGCATACATTTTCGGAGCCACTAATAGCTGTTAACAATTATTTTATAATTATAACCAATTTGTTAAATAGAAAAGCGATCATGCTGATGAAGCTTCGGTTATGACAAACAGTTTAATATTAATTGAGCTTGAGTACAGAGAAATAGGTTTACAAAATTGAGAATGACTTATATATATTATTTATACATATGTATATATATTCATAAACTAAATTGGGTTGAAAACTTTAAAGTGGTTTTAATCCAACTGTTGTCCGCAGAACTCATTAAAACATAGATAAAAGATTTCATGATACTTTGAAAACTAAACACGAGATCAAGGCTAGAAAAGTAACCAAAGTGAAATCCTAAATTTGATCAAAAGGCGATTCAAAACGATTCCCACTAGGTAGGCCTTTAGGAGGCCCATTTGTGTCACCTAAATACTGCTAAGTATTGATCGAAAAGACATCGACAAAGCACTTTGAGCCTGCCTATACTAAAATTTTAATTCGCTAGCTTGAACTGATTGTCAATATATATATAGGTAAATTAGGCAAAGCGCAGAGCAACTAAAGCTTTTCATGACTCCATCTATCACGGTCCTCCGAAGTCAAAATGAAATGGCAACAATTAAGCAAAGTGCAGAATTCGGTATTTTGATCTTAAGCATTCAGAAGGAAATGACTTTAATATACGATTTTTGGAAATGGCAGAGTCTTCGTGAATATCCAGTTTATTAAAATAAATCTTAAATTCTACTATATCCGTTCTATATCACAATACTCAAATAATATAAGATTGTATGTACATATGTTTATAAATTGAGTTTCTACTTTGATAATACCCTACAGGAAAGTTCATCGGAAACAAAATTGGTTAACTTTAAAAGCACTGAGTTTCAGTACTAGTACACGTTCTCGCACTTTCCATATGAGAAAATACCGCATTTAAGACTTCAATGTTCTAATAAGTTCTCGTTGACATCCTTTACATAGTTTTTCTGTATCTCTGAGCTTATTTGAAATTAACAATCATTCGTCCATGGACACATGAAAATACTCGTGCTCGACCCTAACCTCTTCGGGATTCTCGAATTAGTTAAGAAACCCACAAGCGGAATAAACTATTTAAGAAATGGTTGATTGTTGTAAAACCGTTATTTATTCTCATATTTTATTATCTTTTCCTTTAATTTTGAATATTATTTTAAATTTACAACCATTGTGATATGATTCACATTGATTATATAATACCTTAAGCTTTTACAAACTGTTTAGAATTAGTGTAAATTGCACTGGGTCCTGAAATAATAAATATTTATTCAATCAGCTCAATTTTTCCTGCAGGGTATTTACATGCGCAGTAAAGTAGTCTCGCAAATACTTCTCCTTTAATAAAAGATTTCCTGTTGCATAGCACACACAACAAAAATATGTTTATGGTAAGTATATTTCAATAGTTTGAAGTTCCTTTGTTATTCTCGTACTCCTTTATCCGCAGCAGTTGTTTCTGCATGTATTGTCATTTTCCTTATGATTGTTTTTGTTGTTGCAAATATTACTAGTTTTGGCGCGTGCCTCCTGCCACAGCATAGGCGTTCTTTGTCTATTTTTTCATATCAGTCGCCTTTGGTTTGGTCTCCTTTTCTAACGGCTGCTTGATCCCATCACACCTTTGCATTTAAGTGCTTACATCTGTATGTATATAAATGATTGCCTCACATAAATAAAACCAACATCTTTTGCTTCATTGTTGCACATTTCTTTGGTACGTGCCACATATTGGCAACAACTGCAGCGAGGCGCTTTGCAACTTATTTATTCCGACTGCAAAGCAAAATCAACGAAAATAGTGTCGCAAATGATGTACTCAAGAGCTAAATAAGATTTTATGTTTAAAAAAAATTTTTTCACACTGCTTTTTAAAGCAAAATTTGAGAGATTTCTTATGAGTCAGTCATACGTAATATGATATACAACTTTTGCTTCAGACTTTTGAAATGAAGATTGAAAAGTTTTTTTACATCGAGACGAATCAAAATATTGGGCAACTCTAATTTTTTTATGCATTGACAAGCACCAGTGGCCGTTTTTATTAGATAGAAGCACAAAAAACAAAACGTTCATTCTGACATACCCTAGGAGTAAGGGTAAGCGAGGAAACTTTTATTTAAATTAGCCTTTATAAGAAAAATGAATGATTGTATAGCTTTCGTGCCGTTTTCCAAAGTTCTATTAACTCATATCTTGATTGGATAATTTTTCAAGATTCTACACAGAGTGTATCCTAATGAAGTCCAAATAACGATACCGACATTTCAGCCACCATAAACAGCTGATATATTATTTAACCTTCAGCTTAAGCTCCGACATTATTCTCCCAATAGCAACCGTTTTTTCGAAACATTTGCTCATGACCCATCGACTTTCAATCTCACATTCGCCTTCTACATCTGCTGCTTCAACATAACATACTACTCGACTCGTACGCTTACTGAAAATTGAAGATTTGAATGATTTCATGTTTCTAAGTATAAACCCAGGAGTTATTCACTTTCTATAAATAAAATTACCGATATTAAACCGATTGTTAGATTCATTTATGTTACCCAAAACGGAGCGAAGTTTCTGGTCTTTAGCAATGGAATTATTTGAAGATTATGATCTTTTCCGTTCTCATTAGGAAAATCTACCAGGTTTAATTGGCAGTACGCTTTATGTACTTTCACTTACGAATACGAATCCAATAAGAAAATAATGGAATCATATTAGATCGCAGCTTTAGATTTATTTTCAGGTAGGTTAAGTAAGTAAACTCAAAATATTCGAAAATGAGTTTTTATATCGAAATTTTAGCCTGAAATCATCTCTTCCATCACACCGTAGCCTCCTAACTGAATGCGAGTCCAACCTAGGGCGGCAGTAGAGTTCGCTTTGCAATTTGGTGCCAATGAATCCAAGAAAATATCCTTTTAGTCTCTTTAGCACAATGAATCTATAGCCACTAGTCAGTAAAACATTAAAAACTTAATAAACGTAGCATAAATTCTAATACCTTCCCCTAGCCAACACAGTACCCATTTTCCATTTCGGTATGTTAATTTTATATTAAATGGTTCGTACAGGGCAGTCTTACTCCAGAACACCTCAACATCCGATACATGAGATATTACAGCGTCCACACTTTTCTACCATATCATTAGAACTAGCAAGGTGGAAATTACCCAGTATAATACAGTGCTACAATTTTTTTTGTAAATCGTACATGTTGGTAAGAATGGTTCTACATTGTATGAAATCTTTCCCGTATTGCTTTAGGTGTTTATACTGGTTCAAAGAGTAGACCAAACTAAGGTAGATATGCTATACAAACCGGGTAAATATGAAGATTATTCTAAATATTAGACACATGTCTGTATGTCATTCAAAACCATTCGATGGCTAAGGCGTGGGATCGTGGGAATGCTCAAGGTTTGTGACTTTTGATGTAAATCGTTGATGATAGATTAAAAGGGTCAATAACCCATATAACTCTAAATATCTACATATTATACATACATTTCTGCCACATGTACAAATGAAGCATACAAATGATATTTCGAAAACTTTCTCAAGGTATAGATTTATTTCCAGATATAGCTTACCAACTACACACTCTCTATAAAAAATATTGTTAGATTTATGTTCAAACACAGATTTATTTGTGGGATTGTCATCACCCCACCGCTTAATGTGGCATTTATTAACTGTAAGTAATTCGATGCCTAAGCAGTGTTGGCGGCTGCGCCAGCGTTTGCGGTAGCGCCTGCGCACGCTGATCAAATAACCGCATTAGTATCAAAGGCTGACAATGCGCTGGCGTGAAACGGCTATTCGAATGATTTGACACACATGTATATACATATGTATGTATTTGAGTGTTTTCATTCAAATGCTTTTAGGAATATAAATATATACTTACGTTTCCACCCCTTGAGCGTTGATAAAATGCGAGAGCGTAATAGAGAATATCTTATGCACGAACAGCTAATAATATCCTGAGGATAGAAAATACACTACTTAACGTTGGGAGGGTTAAAACTCAAATAAACGCGTTTACAGCAACAAATTTTAACGGTCGAATTTGTTTATTTTTGAAAGGAGAATAAATTATATCAGAAAAAGCTGCGAGTAGGTAGGCTTATTAATTTATACTATATGTGTATCTACATAAATATGTATTGTATACCTGTACGGTATTTTGTTAATTTCAATTTGATAACAACGTTTGAGTTATTTGAATGAGCCGAAGTATGAAAAAGTGAATTTTAATTGGTTAAAATACAATGACCTCTTACTCAAGACTCAAGTTTCGACTGCTTGCTCAAAAAGTTTCTTCTATCAATTTATCGAATATTTATTGATTACATTACTAACCTCTTTGGAATCACAGTCTATGTTTGTTTCTACAAAACTCAAAAGTGCCCATTGTCTAATGAACTAGGGATAGTCACCTTTAAGATTGCAAAACTTTTTATTTAAGCTACGGAAAAATTATCAGTGAGCAACAAATTTTCTGTTATCTTTCGAAATTAAGTGTTATTAATTACAAAATAACAGGGTTGTTAGGGTGTTGTCTTTTTACTGCTGTCGATAATTACAGTAAATCAAAATATGCCAGTAAGATCAAACCAATACTGAATATTATTAGAGAAACTCTGTACTGAATTCGCTGTTCGCGAATGAAAATCTAGAATATTTATCTCAAACCAGCCAACATTACCCTTTTGAAATGTTTCAAACGCAAAGACCATATGTATATATATATGTATATTATATGGTATATGTTTTACAAGTATAGTTAGTCCGTTAAGAAACTAATGTAATCATTAATACATATAATTTATTATTAACAACAATATGGTATGTTTAAAAGCTCTAAACATGGTGTAAGACTTCTTTCGGATATTTCCGGTTGGAAACTCTTAAAAGCTATACATTTTAATTGTCATTCGGTATAAATTTTAAACCTGCATATATATTTCGGACATGAAAGTGGTTCTTAAAATATCCAAAAGTGCTTAGAATCCTGAAATTATCGGATAAAATCGAACCGGTTATCATCGATAGGGAAAAAACCGTTTTCAAACTCATATTTGTAGGATTTACGCTTTATTGGAAAATAGCTTTTTCTAACCAAAAATTTTAACCGGCTCGAAACCTTGAGCCAGCTTCATATAAAATAACTACTCAACTCGTTTTTCGAGAACATATTCGTACTCGCTATTAACGTTAACGGTGACAATGAAAATGCTTTTTATAAACGACGGCTGCGCTTGCGCAAACAAAGCGTACACATGGCAAAGCTAGCGCCGGGGGTGGAAGAGTGATGAAGGTAACTGCTAGAAGAAAATGCTTGCGTACAAAAACTACCCTCTGTCGCACGAGTCATTGACATACAATAGCAAAAACATATTATATTTACTATGTGAATACATACAAAGTTATTAAGAATTTTTTTTCACTGTAGTAAACATGTACATATGCATGGATGTAGCTATGTGTAATGTTGTGTTGGTAGACACCAAGAGTCGATCCTAGCTGGTGCCACTGGCGGTGCTCGTCAACTAACTGCTGGCAGGCAAGCAGCCGTTGCAGGAGCAGATGTTTCCAATTGAGGCGAATATGCGCGCGCCAAAGCAAATGCCACTGCATTGTCCAAAAGACTTTGTTGGTGTGCGCGAGTACACAAATGTTTGTATGTACTTTTGATAATCGGCGGTTCGACTCTGTCTCGCAGTGTTATTTAGCGCAATTATTATTACACTGAGGGCACACACACACAAACCACCACACCACCGGCACTAAGTATTATGGCACGATCTATAGAGGGGGAGCTGTGCGCCGTCGTCGTCAATTCATCCACACATGAGTGGTTGTATACACACACACACACACACACACATACACAAATTTCAGTAGTCCGACAGAACCCAAACGGGGTTGCAATTCGTAGCTTCTACATTTGGCAGTTGGTCTTCTGACTTTAACGACAGTCTTCAGACTTCAGCAGTTGTGTAGAAGAAGTCGTCGCGTGTGGAAGCAAAAAAATTTCGGAAAAGCATTTTGAAACATTTCAAAATTGAGAGAAGTGTTGATAGTTTCTATAAAGTGAGAGTTAGTATGGTTCTACGATAAATATGAATTATTATTAAAAATCCATCGAGAAGTTCATTATTTCAAGTGTGCAAAAACGATTAATTAGAAGAAGTATCTATAATTTCCGTTACTAAAACCACCGAAGAAGATCTAAAATTCGACGAATAAAGACAAATTTAAACGCTGTAAACTTATAAATCTAGCGAAATGTCGCAACACAACTACACGAATCCGGCATTTTGTCAAGGCAGTGAATTCTACCCTACAAGCGGCATTGAATTGGACTCGGTGCAACAACCCGTCGAAGCGATCTACAATCGGAGCTTGAATATGTCTTATGGCGGACATTCGGCGCAGATAAATGCACGCGTTGGTCCCCTACGTCTTCAACGAAGCATGTCGACGCGTTCGGTCAACACGCAAAAACGCCAGAAAACAACAAATCTACCTGAAGTGCACTCAAGACGTCCACCGAAACCGCACCAATATCAACTACAACAACAGCAGCAGCTACAGCTACGCCAGAACCAACATATTCCACAACAACATTTCATAAAAAGCCAAGCTTCTACAACGCCTACGCGTACAAACAACTTTAATGCCGTTACCGAGCCAACGAATTTCGAAACGCGTTCGAATTCCGGCCGTTACGCGCTTGTGCCGTTGGAGGATTTGCCTTCGGCCGTAAATAATAATAATAATAGCCGTTACGCAATTGTGCCAGGTCCAACCGCGCCTCTAACAACGCTACATCGTTATGCGAAATCTCAGGATAACCTTGATTGTTATTGTTCTGAAGGGCGCTTAAATAGTGACGATGAACCCGCCTCATTTCACGAGGAGCCCAACTCATTTCATGGTCAAGCGTCTGAGGCGGCTTTCACGAGTCTACCACCAGTCTTTGAGCGTGGCAGAGCAGCACATTCAATTGCGAAGCAGCCACAACCGTTGGCGCCGAAGATTAAGCATGGTTTCTCAAGCGATTTCGGTAGTAAAACCTTTTTAATTGTGGATAAGAATAGCAATCAACGCTATCAAATGGTGCCCACTGCGGAGAATGAAGAATTGGTCGATGACAATCAGGAGATCATACAAATGCACAATGGTCGTGCGCATCGCTATGCGGTCATACCTACCGAAGAGGAAGAGGAAAACATGCTCACCGCAGAGGATGAGGAGGAAGAGACGTGTCTGAGCAATCCCGATTTAAATCACAGCGAGAACTTCTTTATTGGCAATACCATAAAAACACCGAGAAATGCAACGCTACGCACATCAACACCACAGAAACTGCCAGCCACGACGCACGCACCCAGTGGCAATACCTCCTACCCTGGTACGCCCATGAAAAATCCCGCGGCTACTAAAATGTTGCACGAATTACTCTCGACACCACGCAAAACCCCACTTCCTCGTAGCTTAACACCACGCAATTTGTCGCCCATGGAACGCTTGCCGGAGAACCAACAACAAGAGCAACAGCGTACCAAATACCTTTATCGCAGCCAACAACAATTGTATTGCACGCCTAGTGAACGTCGCGTTGAACGCACCGCTCAGAGTTTACACTACGAATCTGTGAAGACGCAAGGTGATCGCACAATGGCGGTCATAACACCACGCATAACCGCGCATCAATCGAAGATTTATCCTGAAGTGGAGGAGGAGGACTGCAGTAGCATACACGGCAAGTCCACCAACACCACTATGCCCTATCAGCAAAAGGTGGCCAATGCGTCAATCACACTAGCCATAGTCTCGCTTATGATGGTGATCAGCAACAGCATGAATTCGGCGCTTATTATCTACATGATTGCCCATGTAAGACCTATTTGTGGTGTGAGTGAACACAATATAACATAACATAAACATTTCTTTTCTCTCACACTCTAGTTTGGAAAGTCATTCTATTTACAATACAGCTTGGTATCCGCCTTTAGTGGCGTCGGTCTTGGCTTTCTAGGGTTTCGGTCACGACATTGCGAGTGGTTACCGAATCGCAGCTACATTTCCGGTTATATATTGTTAACGGTATTCAGTTTGCTTAAATGTTGTTGTCTTGTGGTTATTCTCGTGCTGGATCCTTACCCTGGACTGCCGCTGCACGATGTTACCACAGGCGTTATACTGGGTCTCTCCACATTCACGATTTTCTTCATCGGCCTAGGCGTAATCGGCTCACTTTGGTGTTACCGACCTCCACCAGATAATCGCGTTAATGTGGCTTAGGTTTTTGTATGCAAATTCATAACAAAATATTTTTTTTTTTAATTTTTTATCACTTAAGTACTTATTTATCTTTTATTATTTATTTATTTAATTTAATCTGTATTTTTAGTTATTTGTTATTTATTAAGTTTAGTTCACAAATGTAATACAAAAATTATATTCACGGCTAAAATACCAAAAATAAGTAGAACAAGTTGTTCATCAATTTACACTGTTCGAAAAAAGACTGTAAATAACTACATATCTTTTGAAATATACAGAAGAAAGAGGCACACACAATCCAGTTTTAGTTCATAAGTTATGCAGATATTCATATATACATAAATGGTTGTACTGTTATATGGTTGTCATAGTGTTAGTTTTATAGTGATTGTATAGAAGTTAAATTTTTTGATCATCTCTGATATAGGAAGCATTTAATTAGTAGACATTGTAAAAACTAAGACACAAGTTCAAAAATGTACTTATATATTTATATTTATCATTAGTTTTCGAATATATGTAAGTAGTTTAAGTGCATATGGTGCATTTTATAGCATCGCAGTCATTTGTAATAAATGTAAATCTATAAAAAAAAAAAGAATAATAAAGATTTTCGAAATCAAAACAACTTAGTTGTATTATGTTATATTTTATTTAGCGAAGCTTATAAATTAATTCCAAAACTATTAGACCTATTAATTCTAAATGTATAAAGAAATATATTTATCTGGATTTTGTTTGTTACCTTACCTTACCTAATTTCGTAAATAGGCCTTTTCAAATAAAAACGTTTTCCATACAGGGACTTGAGTTTGATCGATCATCGGGGGAAAATGACGTGTGTAAAATTTCAGATAAATATCTCAAAGGAACTAGTTTGCGTATATACAGACGGGGATCTCTAAATCGACTCAGCTCATCGCGCTGATCATTTATATATTTAATTTCAGACGTTTCCTTCTGGGTGTTACAAACTTCGTGAAATCATAAATCCTTTTAGGTTATAATGAAACGTTCACTTTATTTTGAGATTTCGACTGCTCTCCGAGATATTGGTTTAAATTTAGTTCCTGAGAACCTGAAGTGATCTACTTTAATTTGGAACTTCAACCTTTTTCCCGGATAAATAAATAGGTCTAAATTTTGTTCCTGAAGAACTGAAAGGGGTTTACTTTATGTTGGAAATCAGACCGTTTCACAAGATATCGATCGCAATTTTATTCTTGAGAAATTGAAATGTTAATTTCTGAAGAATGTAGACAGGATATAAGGATATCAAACAGGTCGCTGTGCGACATTTCAATCGAAAAGATTACACATTTCTTTGCCAAGTGGCCAATTAAAGCAATAGTAAAACAAGATTTGTTAGAAGTTTTAAAATTTTGCCCCAAATATAACAAATTTAAAAAAAAAAACCTTGCGAAAAGTTTTAGAATTAACTAATAACCATACGATGAAGATGATCACAGTCATTTGGAGCATTGATAATGGCCCATTACATAACATATTTTCAACAAACTGAAATTTAAGGAATTTTTGAACTAGTAAAAATTTTGATATTTTTCATTTCTCTACCAAATAAGCAATAACTCATTATGTTCTATTATAGTCATATATCATATTAATTTTAGACAAAACTCAATCCACAGCCTTCTTCGATTCGTCACTTTCCTGTTCGCTAAGTTTGAGATCTGCTGTGTTGTCAAAACGTTGACATGTTAAAGGAACAGTAATGTTGCTCAGTTGATTTAATACAAAATAATTTATGGATATATACATACATAAGTATGTATTTAAAATCGTATTATATCTTTGTATTCTATTTCTATTTGCTTTATGCTAGTTTTTCGTTAAACATTACGGAATCAATTTTTTTTTTCAATTTACTTCTTACAGTAAGCTTGGCGAATACCAAAGAGAACATGAGGACGCAGCCACAGACATGCCGGCCTACGTTTCAAATCCAATTAACGCATATCTGCTGACAAAACGTTTGACTACCGATTGGCGGCAGGTGGAGAATTTAATGTCGCACGATGTAGGCGTCGGTAGGCTAAATTGTTTAAATTTTCAAATATTTGTGCGTTGGCTAACCTTTGAGCATATTTTAGAATTCTTGACTAATATTACCAATTATCGACATGTTCTGAAGTTTCCATCAGATGAAGACTTAAATGGTGCGGCAGTGGCGTTAATGCGTTTACAGGACACCTATAAACTGGATACCTCTAGTGTAGCACGTGGCATGCTCAATGGCATACAGTACAGGTAAGGTAATATCAAAAATACACACACACAAATATATTAAATGAATATACCATACATATGTATGGTATACATTCATTTTTCTTATTTTTTCTAGTACGGCAATGTCATCAGATGACTGCTTCGAGTTGGGTCGCCAATCTTATGTAAATCACGACTACTACCATACAGTTTTATGGATGAATGAAGCAATGACACGCCTTCAAGAGGAACCACAAAATCAAACACAAACTTTTACACGCGCTGATATTTTGGAATATCTGGCATTTTCCACCTATAAACAAGGTACATACTTTGCAGTTTTTGAAAAAATGTATACTGATTATAAAAGAAACCAGTAGCGACCACAAAACAAAAACTAAATGTAGTCAAAAATGTTTGTGGTTTTTTAAAATGTGGTCTAAATCGTGATCACCCTGTACTTCATATCTTTTAATGTATAGTGTCCCAGTTTTCATTGCATACTTATAGGCTCATGCCAAGTCAGTAAGTCACTCATTGTTAACCCATTACAGGTAACGTTGAAAGCGCACTCACGATGACTAATGAACTTCTGCAACTAACACCCGATCATGAACGCGCTCGTGGTAATAAGGTATTCTATGAGAAGGAGATTGCCGAACTTAAAGCTGAAAGCAAAGTTAAAGGTGATGATGGTAGTGAGAGCACACCAGTCTCCGACTTGGTGAGTACTTTGTTTTTTAATAGAAGAAAACTAACAAATTGCTTTTATAAATCTTTTCCAACACCTCATTATTGCAGCCCATCAGCAAAGGTGATCCAAGCATATACACTTTCAACGAGCGCAAATCCTATGAAATGCTTTGTCGTGGCGAATTGAAGCCGTCGCCTGCGGATTTGCGACCATTACGCTGCCGCTATGTGAATAATAATGTGCCGTTCCTGCGCATAGGGCCACTTAAACTCGAAGAAGCCTACTTGGATCCATACATTGTGATGTATTATGACGTTATGCAAGACGACGAGATTGAGTTGATCAAGAAGATGGCACGTCCACGCTTCCGTCGCGCTACGGTACAGAATTCGGTGACTGGTGAATTGGAAACCGCAAATTATCGTATCAGTAAATCGGCGTGGTTACGCACCGAGGAGCATAAGATCATCGAGAATATTGTGCAACGCACGGAAGATATGACGGGTTTAGATATGAGTGTAGCAGAAGAATTGCAAGTTGTGAACTATGGCATAGGGGGACACTATGAGCCACATTTTGATTTTGCAAGGGTGCGTAAAAGTAGAATATAATTAATTCGTATGAGAAATAATTGAAATATTTTACAGAAAGATGAAATTCGTGCCTTCCAGGGACTCAATACAGGCAACCGCATTGCAACGGTGCTCTTCTATGTGAGTATATTTGAAGCACATACAAAATGTATTTATTGTTATATAACGTCATAATGCCGAGAATGAGCTCGATTTACTTTTAATACAAATATACCTATATCAATGTTCCTGTTACCCAAGAGTTACTTCTGTCCAGAATAGTTTTGTGGAATCTTTAAAGAATGAGAGAGTACACATTGACACTCTAAATTATAAACGAACGATTAAATTTAACGGTAATTATAAAAAAATGAGTTCAAAAAAGAGCTTTTGGAAAGGGAACATTTCGAGAAAGTAGCATTTCGAGAATGAAAACATAGGTGTATAGGTTTCAATAAGTGAATACGGAGACTAATTTAGTCTTTATAAGTACTTACACTTCAAGCTGAAGATCTGAAGACTTATTAAATGTTTTTTTTTTCATCCCTTACAGATGAGCGACGTAGAACAAGGTGGTGCCACCGTCTTCACAAATCTACGCATTGCTTTGTGGCCCAAGAAGGGCTCTGCTGCTTTTTGGTACAATTTGCACAAATCCGGTGAAGGTGATTTCAGAACTCGTCATGCCGCCTGTCCCGTTCTTACAGGCTCTAAATGGGGTAAGAAAAAATCTCAATATAATAATTTACAATATGTAATTTTCGATATAAAATATTTTTCAGTTTCCAACAAATGGATACATGAACGAAATCAAGAATTCCGTCACCCATGTGGACTTGAACCGGATCATGGCGAGTTTGCAATTTAGTGCAAGAATTTAAAAATTCATCACAAAACAACAATAGAAGCTTAAATCTGCAGATTGATTGGACTTGTTATTAGTACTTGCACTTGATCATACTAACTTATTTCACAAACTCTATGGTTCAGCTTTACTTTCTTTAACACATTGGACTCGTTTAAAACCACTTTAGAATCTCTGCCGAAAATTGTGTGCAATAAACTCGTTTGAAAATTCGAATTTAAATTGAACGCGGCATTCAAAACATATTCACCTGCAGAGATGTATTTAGACAATATGAAAGGATTCATCTGAGAAATTCGATATGCCATTTTATAAATGCCGCAAATTTCCGGGGTGCTATCCGGACTGCATGTAAACTTAGTGAATTTAGATGCTTAGTTGTTAAGTACTTTTTTTATTATATATGTATTTAGTGTTCATATGAAATTTTATAAATTATGTAAATATAGAAAGAATTAGAAATATTTTAAAACAACTTTTGTTTTACTATGCTGGTACGCTGAGAGTAAAACCTGGCCGAGGAGTAAAAAATTGGGTGCCCCCTCCCTACAGAAATGTTTCTAATACTTTAAATCTTTATTAACTATCTTCCCACTTACTACTACTTCAATGTTTTCGAAACTTACACTTCAAGCTGAAAGAATAGTAAGTCAAATACGACGTGGTGTTTTATGTTCTGACATCTGTATAAAATTTTTTTTTTTTTTGATGTTGGGTGGAACAAATTTCTTTTATACGTCTTTGAAAGGCAATAATGTATAAATCAGTTCATACAAGTACACAGAGTCAAAAATATTTTTTTCAGATTATGTCGGAATATATGTACATATGAATATAGGGACAGCAAGACTTGACAGTTAATAAGAAGACAAAACCATCTCATTCAAACATTTATTTATCGATCTGATTAATGAAAAAACGGTTCTTTTGAAATATATTATCTATCATGATTAAGTTGTTGAACATGCAACTTAAAATCCTCCAATCTTCAATTGTTCGGAACTTATTAGTGAGTTTTTCGAGCTTTGGTGACAGCGAATGCGTCAGTAATAGTCTGGAAATCCAACTTCTGGGCTAATTCTACCTCTAGATACAGCGTAGCTAGTCCTGAAATCATGCTCTGTGACGAGCATGCTCGATGAAAATTTTTGATCCTTGCTAAATCACTTGAAACAGAAACGGGTAAAGTGCAAATTATTCTCCAAGCGATGCAAATATATGGGAAAAGTTTTTCTAATTTTCGAGCATTGATGGCATTCAATACGTTGTATAGAGTAAGACGTGTTTCAAAAATTGCATTGTAAATATGTTTGAGGTGAATAGCTTCATTGGAGAACTTATCAGATGCATCAACTTAATAATTTTTTTGCAAAATTTTTGCAGCTTCGTTGAGTTTATCTTCTTTCATATCATGGAACTGCGTTAAAAATGAGAACAATTTCTTTTGCATTCAATTTCTTCTTTACTGTAATTTTCATCCACTTCTTCATGTAAGTCGTTTATGTGTTTTTTTTGTTTTTGTTTTTTTTTTGCTGATGATAAAATCGTCTCAACATGATTTAAATTCTCTGTAGCAATTTTGCATTCTTTATAAATGGCTTTCCACTGGTAGCGCAGAATTTGCAAATCCACAAGAAGGATTTCTATATTTCTAACTTCAGCGTCGATGGTGGCATTGATCTCTGGAATCACCAAGTTTCTTCCATTGATTTACTGTAGGATTTTAAACTATAAGCAGGCCATAAAAACGGACTCAAATATGCCGTAAGATTGAGTTTTTTAACATATTTCAAAGCGTTTATCAATCGGGAAGATTTTTCGCAAATGGCTTGACGGCATCGATGCTGGCAGATCACTTTGTATTAGAAAGACAGTGAAGTGAATTGGGTATTTTGGATTTCAGAATTTCCCAACGTTGCCGGCTGCTACTGAAATTATAAACGACAGCAAAAAAAAAATTAATGCTTAAGAATAGCTTTCAATCGAGTCTACTCCAACCAAATTCAGCATGTGGGGTGGCTACAGTGCTAAAGAACTGCATACTTATTTTTACGTGAGATGTGATTTTACGCTCCTTCATATTTGCGGCTTATATTGCTACCATTATCGTAGTCCTGTCCACGTCAATCTTCTAATGTTTTTCAAATTAAAACAAGTGCTTTGTCGCTTTTTTCGTGACAATCTACAAAATCGCGAAAACTTTCCCTTATCGGTAATCACAACGTTTAAATATATGTTCGAATTAATCACTTGTCAAAAGCATTCGATTGTTTAACTATTCACTTAATTTTTTGGAAAATACGGGCCTCTTCGAGACATCCGTGTCCGTGAGGATTTACCCCCGCGTTTCATCCATTAACATCAGACCAGACTGAAACTCGTACTTTGGATTAGTACCAGATGGTTCTTTAACAATCGGAAACTTTGGTCTTAGTTATCTTAATACTTATCAACCCATTGCTTTGCATTACTTTTTTCTTTGAAAAATTACTCGTAGTTGGGCTAGCGTCACTTTGTAACCAATAACTTGAAAGCGATTGATGGAAATGTGCTGAAACTTTGACGGTATTTTAGCTTAGGCTAATACTTTAAGACAAGCACAGTAATTTTATTTTTGCAGTGCGAGCTCTCGGTATACATATATATGAATAGGTAGGTATATTCTCTTATAAATTGAAAATACATAAGTATGTATGCATTTCATAAATATAAAATCTATAAATTGTATTTAGATAAGTGCACATCGACCTATAAATTGGCTGACGTATTACGTATACCTATGTACATATGTACCATATAAGTATCTATTGACATACATATACATACATATACATACCGGCTTTAAACAAACTGAAACACCTGCACATAGCTGTCGTGTGAATAACTTACTCTAAGCTACACTTCCCAAAATCGTAAAAATACTAGACTTCCTTCTCATTTCAAGAGCAGTATTGAAAGCGTCAAGAACTAAAACAACCAGCAGACGTAAGAAGAATGACTTTGCAAGCGCAACTTCAAAATAGAACCAAACGAAAGCCTAATCTTAACGGTAAAATAGGTACAACTCTTCACGGCTACTTTCCACTACTGTTCATCGCATTTTTATCTGTCACCTGTCAAGCTGAATACTTCTCATCAACCGACAGCTTACCAGTGCTGGCAGTCGCAGAGGAAGATTTAATACAGTGGTATAGGAATTTGCTCGATTCTCAGGCGGACGATTTTGCAGTATATCGCAAGTTGGTGCATAGTTATTACTAAAACCAGCTGTTTGGCATTACTAGTGAACTGTATAAATTAAATTTATTTCAGTTTCATAGAAAAAGTAAAGAAGGAACATGCATTGGCGCTGGAGGATCCCGAGGAATATCTGGGAAACCCTTTAAATGCATACAAATTAATTAAACGAACTGTTGTTGACTGGACTGTTATAACGGAAAATGTTGGGTATAACAAAGGCCTGAAAGGTGAGTGTTTGACGAATTTTATAGTTTGATATTTCCACGTTCATTAGTTCCTATAATTGGCTTCATCACACTAAATACTTCAGAAAGCCTTTTAATTTGGAAAATTAGCGAATTATTTACAATAATTAATGTTTAATATATGAGAACAAAAATTGCTAATTGACGGATTTTATTGGCTGCCCAAAACACCTATACTACAATTTTTCGGCAAGGTTCTTAATATTGTACCGAAATTGGGTTTCGGGTTGACTACCTCTTTTATCATTAAATTATTAACTTTTCCATTCACACTAGCGACATAATTAACATATGTAGCTTAAAAAATATTATCCAAAAAATAGCACTTAAGGAAAACCTAACGGCGTTAACTGCGGATATTTCTTTTCCTGACGTTAATGAATTACGCGGTGCGGCCAAGGGTTTGGGTCGCCTACAGACCATGTATAATTTAAGAACACCAGATTTGGCAGATGGTGTTATCAGTGGCGTTTATTACGGGTGAGTGAAATTAGAAACAAAAGTTTAATTGTGGAATTACAAAGTTAACATCTTCTTATTTCTCAAGTTCGGATCTCTCTGTACACGAATGTTTTGAAATCGGAAGCAATCTTTTCGAAGTTAAGGAATATCCTTTGGCAATAGAATGGTTACATTTAGCATTGAAGCTGATTTATAATGGTGAAACTGTGAGCATTAAAACTTCAGAAAGTGATTTTGGTGATAAAGAGAACACAGATGATGATACAGAGTTGAGAAGAAATGAAGCTGAATATGCCGATGAATATGACGAGGATGATGACGATGACGATGAAGATGACGAAGACGATGACGATGACTATGAAGATGATGAGATGGAAGATCTTATTTATGAACCACGATATGGTGTATTTGCTCCTGTAGTATTGTTCGATTGGGATGAAGATGGTAACATAATTACTGAAGATGATATTGAAAGAAGTGACAACCGTCAAGAAAAATCATTTGCATCCGAACAAGACCCGGTAACAGAGAAAATATTAATCGAAACACTGGAATATTTAACACTCGCCAACTATGAGTTGAGCCAACAAGACGAAATGCAGATTTACATTAACGAAATATTAGATATAAATCCGGAACATGTTTTTAAGGACTTGAGAGTTTATATGAATACTAAAGAACCTCAAAATCGCCCCGCTTTCGACAGTTTCTTTGATTTGCAGCGTTTCGAATGGTTTGCGAACTACTCACGTTTGTGTCAAGGTCAACAAGTGGAACAAAAAGGACTACATCAACTCAAGTGCAAATTAGATACTCTCAATCAACCACTATTCATATTGGCACCATTGCGAAAAGAAGAATTGCATGCAGATCCCGAAATTGTCGTGTACCATGGAGTGCTAACCGATAAACATATTGATGATATACTTGATCAGTCCGAAGCACATATGGTTCGATCACGTGTTGGCGGTGGAAATGAACATTTGGTTCGCGATGTGCGCGTCAGCCAACAAACTTGGCTAACATATCATAGTCCAACGCTAAAATACATCTATCGTACGGTATCGGCTATAACTGGTTTCGATTTAACGAATGCTGAAGATATGCAGGTGGCAAATTATGGCATCGGGGGGCAGTACGATCCGCACCACGACTATTTCGATAACTTTGTATGCAAACAAAAAATAATTTAAAGTCGAAATGTAGGGTTCATAATTTTATTTTCTTTACTCATTTGAACAGGATCCGACTGTTAAATCTCCATGGATTGGAAATCGCATAGCAACACATTTATTCTTTGTATGATCAATTATGCATTAACTGCTTCTTTGAATCCTTTTAACGATAGTCATTATTACTAGGCTTCTGACGTCGAGCAGGGCGGTTATACGGTGTTTCCCTTCTTGAATGTTTACGCAAAACCCGTAAAGGGTTCGATGGTTATGTGGCGTAACTTGCATAAGTCTTTGGATCCCGACAGACGTACTTTGCATGCCGGCTGCCCCGTAATCAAGGGCACCAAGCGAAGTAAGTTCTAAATATTATACATACGCATTAGGAATAAATAAATAATATATTCATTTACTTCACAGTTTGCAATATTTGGGTCCATTCTGGATATCAGGAATTTAGCCATCCCTGTGGTTTAATACGTGACAACTACAAGTCGGCTCATGTCAAATAGAAATAATAAATAAATATATAGGTATATATATTGTAGTTAAGTTAAAATAATTCATTTTTGTTTCTAAATAAGCTAATAAATATTACCATAAAATATCTTATAATTATCTCATGTATATGTATGGTATGTACAATACATAGACTTTTATTTATTTATTCTCTATACACATGAGAACAGAAAACACTCATTCAAAAGAAAATATGTACATATGTTTGTGTTGGTGTTAAAAATTAGGCCGGGTTTGTTTATTTATAGTCGAACTTGTTTGCTAAATATGCAAACTAAAAAACTCATAAAAACATCATTATCATTTTGATGCCTAAAGCGCCAATTCACTTATATGTAATGTTGGCCCCTATTACAGTTTTCAACTCAGCTGTATTTGATTAAAGTTTTGAAATTCGGTATTCTCGATATCAACTCAATTCGCAAAAAAAAAGTTTCGGTTGAAGTGTGGTACAATTTTTTGTGATATTGCGGATTTCAACTCTATGCCAGTGAGGTTGACTAGAGTATCAAAAAATTACAACTGCTACAAAGCAAATTGAAAATATAAAGCTTGTTTACGTGAGATCCTTTTTTTAAGGGCAAATACTGAGGCTTCAGGAAGCGCTTGCATAGTAAAGCCAGATTTTTTCAGAATTTTTTAATGAAAAAACACAGTAGTAGTTTTAGTAGATATTTATTTATTGAGCCTTTGGCTGTAATTTTGGATTTTTTTTTAATGCAATAAAATATGAGAAATAACAGGCACCCTAATATACAAGCATGTACTTATGTATGGTATATACCGGTATAGGAGCATAGTACATAGTATTGTAGAAAACTACGAAACTACTCTTTATATTCTTCGCTCGAGTAAAATAGGGATTGCCATATTATGCTGCATCCTCTTTGCATAAAATAAAAACCAATCGATATACCAAGGACAAGTCGACCAATCGTCATTTAGAATTTATTAAAAAAGCTAAAAGATCCCACAGGAGTGAGTATAGTACGTTTTCGATTGTGTTCTAATCAACCAAAGCCTAATTCTGCGAACTTAAAAGTTGTCGTTTGCTAATTTTCCTAAAAGTGTGTATTGATTGACGAAATTTTTATTAAAATAAATGATTATAGTAATATAAACTTTTAAATATATTATATTAAAAATTCTATAGTTAAAAACGAAGGCATAAACAATTATTATTATACCCTGAACAGCATGATGAGCTTATTGATTTAGCCATATCCGTCTGTCTGGCTGTCTATATGTATACAAAATAGTCCTCAGTTTTAAGCTGTCGATCAGAAATTGCACCTGTCCTTTCCTCACTAAGAAGCTGCTCATTTGTCGGAACGGCCGATATCGGATCACTGTGGCATATAGCTATCATACAAACTGAACAATCGGAGACAAGTACTTGTATGGGAAACTTTTTATTTGACGTAATATCTTCACGAGATTCGGCATGGATTATTATTTAGCAATAATGCAATCTTCGAAAAATTCTTCAGATCAGATCACTATAGCGATCGGAATCAAGGGCTTTTATAGAAAACTCTTTCCTTTGACAAGGTAATTTCATGAAATTTAGCACGGGTTATTATTTACGGCAATAATGGAATCTCCGAAGAAATTGAATAGATCGGATGACTATAGCATATAGCTGCCAGATTAACTGAACGATCGGAAAAAGTGCTTGCATGGACAACTCTCTCATTTGAAATTAGGCATGGGTTATTGTTTGAGGCAACAATGTATTATCCACAGAAATTGTTCAGATAAGATCACTATAGCATATAGCTGCCATACAAATTGAACGAATCATGTTCTTGTAAGGAGTCTTTGTATCTGTGAAGGGTATTATTTCGGTGCAACCGAAGTTGACGTTTTTCCTTGCATTATATGCATTTCAATAAATCGCAAAATTTCTAAGTTTTGTAAAACTCTCTAAAGTTTTGAATTTCTTCTCGATTGGATTAAGATTGGAGCTATAGCCGTCTCCAAATATTTTGTTAAAAAAAAACGAAAACATGGAAACTTATCAGCTTGCTTATCTTTTACCATATGTAATAACTAAACAAAATAAGTAGAAAAGTAGCTTGAACAAATAGTACTGAGAGATAGGATTTTCGACGGACGAAAAATGCTCCCAAAAGGATGGTAAAAGAATATGGTCTAAAATTTGTGAATACTTTTCCGAGCTTATAGTTCCATCAATTAGTGGCAGATCTTCGACCCCATATTAAAAACTCATTCACAAATCAATCCGGATCCTCCTCTAAGGCATACGTTTTTTGAAACATTCTCCGACTCTACGTCGCACGTTGGACATACTATCCGAACCAAAAGGTTTATTTTGAATTCATTAGATTGTCCAATAATTTATGGCCAACTAATTGTATATTTTGGACATTGTAGCCACAACGCATTTTAAATGTCAACATGTTTTTCTTAGCCGGCGCCCATAAAATTTAATCTCTTTAATTTAATAGGATCTTTATACGTTCAAGTGTTCATTTTCATTCCATCCGATTGGACACACTTACACCTTACTTCTTCTTTACGTCTTGCAGTTTTAAATCGGTTTGACATGCTTAGGTGCTTCAGGATACGACTTTCCTGTTGGTTACTCTTCTTTTCCTTTCAGTACCGCAGTTTCGCTTAAGAGTCCTGGTCTTTCGAAAATTCTTTAAAAGATAACCGAAAGAAAAATTCTTTAGCACTAATATCAGAAAGGCTTAATTTCTCCGACCTCGAAGCCAATACAACACCTTGGGCTGATTCTGTCATCGTCGATTTATTTCACTTTATATTTACTTTTCATTCACTAATATCGCTTCAGGAACACTATACCCAAACGTGAATTATTCAATTGATAAGAACAAAACTGATTAAAACCTTTGGACATCTGTGGGACATAAAAGTTCGCATACAAAACCCATGTGTTGTAGTCTGATATAAAGTCAACTTGAAAGACCGCGATCGGTAAAGTTCGGTATATGAAGTCACCAAGTTTTGAAATAGAGTTCATACAAGTACAAATATGCCAAGTTTGTCGAAATATTTATTTATGTGATGCATCTATTATATTTATTCATTAGATTAGTGATTATAAATCACATATTGTAATGGGTTTCTAAGCGGCGTTATATTTGAAGTGGGCTTGGTTTCAATTCGAAATCTACCGATTTTTCATCATGTGAACAAATATATTATAATTGTACTCCATGAACAAAGTGGGAAAGTATTAAATATTTTTGAACATGTAAATTATGACTAATTCTCTAGAAAAATTTAAATAATAGTCAGGGTTTTGTGAAATCTGAAGCACAGGGAATTAGCATAGAAACTCATACGTCAGGAATTCTGATATTATTATTTTGATGTTGGATCAAAAGTGTAGATCCATTCAATAACCATCTGATTTGCTTTCCAAAACAATCCAGAATATACGAACAAATTTTGCCAACTATTTTGCTAATTATAGAATAGGTACATACTGTATATAATATAAAGTATACATCTATGTACATATATAGGTATGTATACACTGAGGATTCGAAATAAACTTATTTGAGTGTTCTATACTAGACACATTTGTATTTTCTTTACTACGATATTTACTTTCTCCAATATTGAGTCCATAAAAGTTCAACATTTATATAACAGATAAAGTAAACAGTGCTTGACAACTTTCAAAAAATACATGTTTGTATACACACATACATGAGTGTAAATTTGATAAAATATGTATTATACAAAATATACATATATATTTACCTATGTAAGTGCACATCGATCAACAATTGTTTCCGTATCACTATCCATATTCATAGTAACTAAATGTGTATGTATATACAATAATATAGCATAAGTAAACTGAAACACCTGCACATAACCGTTGTATGAATGACTTACTCCGAGCCACGCTTTCCTGATCGTCACAACGGTAAGTAAAAATACATTTTCATTTAAGGAATAGTATTGAAGCGTCAAGAACTTAAGCTTCTTCAGACGAGAGAAAATCTGAAAATGACTTCGCAAACGCAACTCGAATTATAACCAACCCGAAGCCCAAAGTTAAGAGTAAAATAGAATTATCTTCACTGCTACCTCCACTACTTTTCATCGCACTTTGGACTGCACGTGTCAAGCCGAGTACTTCTCATCAACCGACAGCTTACCAGTGCTGGCAGTCGCAGAGGAAGATTTAATACAGTGGTATAGGAATTTGCTCGATTCTCAGGCGGACGATTTTGCAGTATATCGCAAGTTGGTGCATAGTTATTACTAAAACCAGCTGTTGGCATTACTAGTGAACTGTATAAATTAAATTTATTTCAGTTTCATAGAAAAGTAAAGAAGGAACAGCATTGGCGCTGAGGATCCCGAGGAATATCTGGGAAACCCTTTAAATGCATACAAATTAATTAAACGAACTGTAGTTGACTGGACTGTATAACGGAAAATTTGGGTTTAACAAAGGCCTGAAAGGTGAGTGTTTGACGAATTTAAAAGTTTAATATTTTCACGTTCATTAGTTCAATAATTGGCTTCTTCACACTAAATCAGAAAGCCATTTATTATTTTGGAAAAATAGCGAATTATTTAAAATAATTAATATTTAATATAGAAATAAATATCACTAATTTGCGGATTTTATTGGATGTCCAAAATACCAATAATATATTTTGTGGCACGGTTCTTAATACTGTACCGAAATTTGGTTTCGCGTTGACTACCTATTGTATTTTATCATGAAATTATTATTTTCCATTCACACTAGCCATATGATTATATTCTCAAAAACATAGCACTTAAGGAAACCTAAAGCGTTAACTGCGGATATTTTTTCCCTGACATAAGTGATCTACGTGCTGCGGCCAAAGGTTTAGGGCGCCTGCAGATCATGTATAACTTAAGTACAACTGATTTGGCAGATGGTATTCAATGGCTTAACTATGGGTGAGTAAAATTAGAACGAAAGTTGAATTTGGAATAACAAGTTAATATCTCCTATTCTCAAGTTC